TGTATGTCATTCACACATACAACTTAAAAAAAGCATTAAAAAATACTTTGTTTGTGTTTACTATTTAATCCTTTAAATATACAGGTGAAAAGCAGACCTATGAAAATAAAATACTTTACCATACGGATGATTATGTTAATGATTATAATCCTCACGTTGATCCAAGTGTTCTTAATGAACATTCTACTGCAGCATTCAGATATTTCCATTCTCTTATTGCTGGATATCTCAAGTTAGTATTTAACCACATGATTTATATCAATGTTACATTTCACTTTATTTCAAATTGATTATATTATTTTGTTATAAATTAAAAATGATTTCATTTTTGTTAATAAAAATTAGATTAATAAACGAAGCAAGACATTCAGTTGCACAACCATTAAGATTAAGTGATTGGACTAATAAACCTGAAGTTATTGAACATGGTGATAATATGGATAGTCTTACAAGAGGTTTGTCGTGTCAACACGAATTAGCCAGTGATCAATTTTTCGACGCAGAAGTATATATATTTTTTATTATATATCTTTATTTTTTTTTATTAACCCATTACCGAAAGCAATACGAAAATTCAAAGAAAAGAAAATTAAATTACTTGCATAATAATATTAATACTATAACTATTATAGTATATTATATATATATATATATTATAATACTATACTATATTACGTAGGTTGGAACTTAAATAGTGGCAACTATTTATTCACAACCGACACGAAAGAGTTACATGTGTTCTCCTGTTACTGTCTTTTAAAGAAGTCACCAGCATTGTGTAGAACCCGTTGCCCGCAATTTGGAAGACTTAGTATACTGTTAGCAGAGCCTGCTCTGTTGATGGTGCGAATGGAGCGGTCTACTACCTGTCGAATCTCTGGAACAGTTCTGAAGCGAATGCCACGATGGGTTCCGCATGAATTAATGGAAATGCAGAAATGGATGCGTTACGAAGCTGCTCAAACGCACTTGGAGCGCTTTGAGCCGGAATGAGAGGCTTTCTTACGCCGTATCGTAACACTGGATGAGACATAGCAGTAGACCGCTCCATTGAGCTCTATTCGCACCATTAACAGAACAAGCTCTGCTGACGGTATACTACGCCTTCCACATCGCTGGCAACGGGTTCTACACAACGCTGGTGACTACTTTGAAGGACAGTAACAGGTGCAAACATGTAACTCTTTTGTATCGGTTGTGAATAAAGAGTTGCCATTATTTAAGTTTCAACCAACGTATATTTTATATACTTAGTATATATTATAGTATATATATAGTATTATTATATAATTTATAATATATTACTATATATTACACTAATATAATTACTAATATATATTAAATACTATAATAAATACATAAATTACTAATATATATAGTATTACTGAAGTATATAAATACTGTAATACTTGTATAATGATATTAATATAAACATTATTAAATAATATAATATTATAATTATAAAAATAATTTTATATCATTAATTATTGATTTAAAATAAAATAGTAAAAACTTCTAATATTTTCATAATTTTTAATATCTCATTCTAAAGTTGCACTTATTAAAAAAAAAACTAAAATTTTAAAATGCGTTTCAAAATAAGGCCATTGTCGAGTAATGGGTTAATTTATTATATATTTACCTTCAAAAATGAATTAAATCAAAGCAAAATAAAGAATATTATTCTTATGATTTATTTTATAAAATATGTCTCTTGTTTTCAATTTTTGTTATTTAATTCATTATGATAATTATGATAAATGTAATTTTTCCTTTGTTATTTTAGACAACGTTATACTTGTTTAAACGTCAAGAACAATTTGGCATAGATTTACGTGCCACGGATATACAAAGAAATCGTGATCATGGTTTAGCATCGTATAATGATTTTCGTGAATATTGTCATTTGAAAAAAGCTGTACATTGGAATGATTTCAGCGATTACATATCACCAGAAGTATGAAGACATTTTTATTCATTCAAATGATTCTCTTCGAAAGAATATTTTTATGTTGTGTTGTATTGTTTAAGTATTTGCTTTTTTTTTGTAGAATATTAAAAAATTAGCGAGTCTCTATTCCTATCCTGATGACGTAGATTTAACTGTTGGTGGTTCTTTGGAAGAACACGTGCCAGGTACTCTTACTGGTCCAACCTTCCTTTGCATTCTTCTTAGACAATTTTATCGAACTAGAGTTGGTGATCGATTCTGGTACGAAACTGGTGATCATGAACTAGCATTTACCAGAGGTCAGTATTATATATATAATAATAATAATAATAATAGAAATAATAATAATATAGTTAATATAATATTTTAATATAATTCATATTAAAATATATATTAAATATAAATGAATAACTAAATTTATAATTTAATTTATATTAAATTATATTATAATATAATAGATAATATAATAATATAATAATTTCATATTTGATAATTTAAATGTATAATTAATTATAATATTATTTTTATTATAAAAAATAATGAAACTAATTATAATTATCCTTAAATAATTTTCTTCTTTTTTTCTTTTTTTCTTTCTTTACATCAAAATTAAATAATAAACTGTACTTTTAGAACAATTGAGAGAAATACGAAAATCGACAATATCCAAATTATTCTGTGACAATGGTGATAATATTAAATTAATGCAACCCAAAGGTTTCGAACTTATTTCCGAATCGTAAGTATTCAATTTATATTTAACGATTATGTCAGAACAATTACGTTCTTCTTCTTAATTCTATTCGTATTTTCAGAAATCCACTGGTTGATTGCAAAGATCTACCTGACATGGATTTATCATTATGGAAAGATTATGCTCCAGAAATTAAGAAGTCTAAGTATAATCCTATTTTTGTGTATTATAAAAAATGAATTTAAATAATTGAACAATTTATCTTAAGTAAAATCATTATCACCAAATAACCAATTTTTCTTTATTGGTTATTCAAGTGATATTGTAGATGATAATAAATAAATTTGTATATAAATATGATTAAAAAAAATATATAAATATTATTCTTATACAAGGAATTTATTAACAAGTGTGTACTGTAAAACTAAACAAACAAACTAAAACAAAAGTTATTCTATGTGTAACATTCATACGTTCAAATATAGATAATAGTAATTTACGTTTTTTACGAAAATAATTATTTCGAGCCTTAAATAAAGTTATAAACATACAAACAAATCTAAAATAGAAAAATTACTATAAATTATTATACAAATATATTGCATTGTAGTGGTCAGTAATTATTAAATATTATTAATTATTATAAATATATATTTATATTATATTTTAATAGTTATAATAATTATTAGTAAATTTAATATAATTTAATATTTATTTTATTTTATTATAATATAATTGAATATAATATATACAATATTATAATAAAAATTATTATAATATATAAAATTATAATTTAATTAAATTAATTATTAATAATAATAGTTAAATAATTATTATTATATAATTATTATAAAATTATTATAAATATTAATAAATAGTATATATTATATATTTTATGTTATATAGAATATATACATTAGGGTAGGTCAAAAAAATTAATTATTTTTTTTTTACAAGTGCCACGGAAAAATGGGTTGCTAGACACCTTAAAAGAATTCTTACCAAATATGAGCTTTTAATTTTTATAGGAAGATCCTCCGCATCACAGTTTTTTATTTTTTTCTCAGTCCAATAGAACAACATTCATACCTCATCATTAATTGATTGTACAGAAAAATGTTCTAGACGAATTTTTTAGGAAATTTAATGCTCTACAAAAAAGGTATGTTATATTTTTTCCGGAAACCTCACAATTTCCTCGCTCCTCGGAGATCATCGATCCAACAGATTTCTCGATGAGAGTTCGATATCAATCGCCAAGCTTATCAGTCGACTGCGCTTGCTCTCTCTTCCATATCAATTTATCATTCTGTATCTCATTGTGCGTGTGTGTAAAAATTCTGTATCGTGTTAAATAAAATCTGTTCTGAGAGATCACAAATAAAAAGGTGAAATCCCTTGTCATGTTCGGCTTTCTCATTGGTCGTTACGGTGGTCAGTAACTAGCCATTCGGCCCGCGGTCATTGGAATTTCCACATTGCTGATCCCGACGTGATCTCCGGAACCAGTTCGACCACGTGTTTTTCTCGCTTTTCTTCTCTCTCTCGGTTTCGCCTCGTGGAACGGCCATTTTCTTCCTTCCGGCATCTCCTACGGCAGCCATTTCGTTTTTTGTTCCTCTCTTGCACCACTCTCGTAAGTACGCTCCTTGACTTTTTCTTACTTCGTGTGTGYTTTTCTTTTCGAGAAGATGCCGATCATGCGAGCCGAAGCTTCGCAACACGCTACCGGTGGCCAGCCGGACGCAGTTGCGGCGAGAAGTTCGCCCGCGCAAGACTTTGTTAGTCAACGGGCTCCCGTACTGGCTCGTGCACCGGTCACGGCTCCGACCGTCGTACTAGCCTTCACCACCGTGGTTCCTGCTCACACTAACGCCAACAACTCCGCTCCAGGCGACGCCGGACGTCGGTCCATCTGCCGTTGGCCACCCTTTCCGCGTCGAAGCCCGGAGTTGTGGTTCCTACAATTGGAATCACTCTTCTCCTGCCATGATATGTGTTCTGATTCCAAACGGTATCATTCGGCTGTTGCGGGGTTGGACTTCGATACACTGGAAGATAAAAAGACGTGCTCTACCACCCTCCTCCCACCGGGAGGTATGAGCATCTTAGAGCGCAGATCCTCGCTCGCTTCGGCGATACTACGGTTTAGCGTCTTCAAAAGCTTTTCTCAGGGCTGACCATGGAGGACCGGACACCGTCGCAGCTTCTTCGACGGATGCGCTATCTCGCTGGCAACAGCGTCGGCGACGACGCCATCCGGGTTCGGTAGCTTGACCTCCTGCCTCCTCACGTCTCCCAACTACTGCGGTTTCTACGAGCGGCTGATCTGGACGAGCTCGCAGCCACAGCTGACAGCTTAATCGAGTTCTTGCCTAGTAACGTCTCTGCCGTCCGGCAGATTCCTCCTGCCCCGCTGCTGGCTGCTGGTTCTCCACCAGCTTTTGCCTCGCACGTGCCCGGATCCATGCTTGACTTCGTCGCAGCGGAATTAGCGACGGTTCGCTCGACGCTCGCCATTTTGGTCGTGGCGATAAATCGCAACACCGATCAGCTGTTTGAGATGTCTGCCGCTATCAGCAACCTGTTCGAGCTACAACCACCGTGGTCTAGTCTACCGGCTACTGCTTCAGCCCCGCCGCGCGCCGCGCCGGCGTCCTCCCGCTGGGACCGCTCTCACAGGATGCTCCGGGAAAACGCTGAACGCCTCCGGGAGCCTTTGGAATTCGAGGCAAACCAAGCTTTAGACTGATTGCACTGCCGTCTCAGTGCACCCGCGTCGCCTCTTCGGTGAACGTTCGGCCAAGTCTACTTCCTACCGCCTCGTCCAACTGAGTCATCCGGCTGTTTTCCAGCCTTGGTCCAGCCTCTCCTTCTCGGACGGACTCCGGGCAACGGGTGTCGTCGTCCCAACACCTTCTCCACTCTGGTTCTTCAGGAGGCTTACTTCCGCTTCCTGTTAACCGTCGAGAACTTCGAGAAGGCGCCCGACGCAGCCTCTCTGCAGCCGCAGAGATTGCTATCCTATCGCCTTCGGTACCACTTCGTCTCGCCACCGACGCGTCCAGTTTGGCCGTTGTCGCTGCGTGGCTGCAGCTGGTCGACGAAAGAAACGGCGACCTGTTGGTTTCTTCTCCTAGACGCTGCCATCATCACAGGCTCGCTACGACACTTACAATCGGAAGCTCTTAGCCGTCTTCTAGGCTGTGCATCACTCCTGGCGAATCCGCAAGGGACATCCATTTACAGTGGTGACGGACATTAGCCGCTGATTCACGCAGCTCGCCAACCCTCGGATAAGGCCTCACCTTAACAGTAACGGCGACTCGCTTTTTTACTGCAATCTGACTTATTCGTTTCAGTATGTAGCCGGTGCGGTTAGCGTCGTCGCCGACGCCCTCTCCCAGACTATGGAGGACACTCCCGTCCCGGACCGTCCAGCGGCAATTTCAGCCTGCATCTCTATCAGCCTACTTTCTGCTCTCGGTCGAGGACCGTCGCAGATGCAACGGGCGACAACGCGACAACGAGCTCTCCATCGCTCGCAGTATCCACCTCCCTCAACCTCCAGCACCTCAACGGTGAGGGAATCCAGGTGATCTGCGACATACACGGCGGCCGAGCTCGGTCTTTTTGGCCTCGCTCTCTTTGCACCGCCGTCCTTGAGGCCACCCACGGACGCCTAGAGACCGACGTACCTGGGCATCTTCGACGACTTCACGGCTGTCGCATCTCTTAGCTCGCAGCACCGGAGCGGTCGCTGCATGCCTCGTCTCCAGTTCTTACGATATCGCAGTCTTCGCCTTCTCGGCCTCCGGCTGCATCCGGACCCCTGCCCGTAGTGCCAGCATCGCCTGCTGTGACAGGACTCGTCGTCGTCTCACCGCCACCCTCTACAGCCGTCGCCACGCAGTCACCCTACGTCACCTCCGACTTCGAACCGCCTAACCAGGGACTTCGGCTCAGCTTCTCCGCAAGTCTAATTCCGTCCGCCTYCGGCGTCCGGTCCAGAGGGGGGAGTGACTGTGGCGTCCCGCACCTGCTCGGTGCTGACTCCCCATGGTTCACTTTCCATAGCTCTGATGTCTTGCACCAGGACGGTGCCGACATCTCGCGACTGCCAGCGCTAAGTTCGGCAGACGTACCCAAAAACTACTAGAGATGCGTGTGTTTAGTAGCGACACTTTCTGCCTCGGCTTTGTAACCAGACCATGATGTAGACGCGGCCGATTGGTCAGAATTCGCAGCGTAATTGCGCCTGGGAATCTGATTGGTCGGGCCTAGTGGCGTACCTCCCGGATTCATTTCCTCGCTTCTCGGAGATCATCAATCCAACAGATTTCTCGATGAGAGTTCGATATCAATCGCCAAGCTTATCAGTCGACTGCGCTTGCTCTCTCTTCCATATCAATTTATCATTCTGTATCTCATTGTGCGTGTGTGTAAAAATTCTGTATCGTGTTAAATAAAATCTGTTCTGAGAGAT